ACTGGGACAAAGTTATTTTATGTATTTTAAAATACAAAAATACTAATCTTAAAATGTATTTAAATACAAACTACATTTGATTTTTGCTGAAGGCTTTCAAATACAAAATACAAAATAGTATTTTGTATTTCAAATACGTATTTTAAATACATGTATCTGAAATACTGCCCATCCCTGGGTAGAGGTAGTACAGTATTTGCCACTGTATTCTGCTAACTGTCGTACATGCGTTCATGAGAGAGTAGCATTCCAGCGGATGACGCAGTACTTAGGCGTACCGTAAGCTCCAGTGAGAATATGCTAGTCTCGCGAGAACCAAGTTTTGTTTACAGCAAAGGAAAACCAGTCACCTCTTGGCTTATATCTCCAACATTATTATTTACAAATCCTCATTTTGTACTTCTAATTTGTGACCAGTGTTTTGTTTTGCTCCCTCCTCTGTGCTTCCTCATGTCACTTCTTACCGGAGCTTACATTACAACTACGTCATCCGTTGGAACGCCACACTCTCGTCAACGCACGTATGACAGTTAGTGGAAGCTGGAGATTATGGTTTATAAAGTTTTAAATAATATTTTTCTTACACAAACACATCGCTTCACTTCAGAAGGCCTTTATTAACCCCTCTGAGCCGTGTGGAGTACTTTTTCTGATGGATGGATGCACTTTTTTGGGCTTCAAAATCTCGACCCCCATTCATTGCCATTATAAAGCTGGGAAGATCCAGGACATTTTTTTAAATAACTCCGATTGTATACATCTGAAAGAAGAAAGTTATATACACCTAGGATGGCTTGAGGGTGAGTAAATCATGGGGTAATTTTCATTTTTGGGTGAACTATCCCTTTAATGAACTTGTTTAAAATATTGTTTTAATGAAAAAATTACTCTGTAATAAATATTTATGTTCTAATTGTTTCATATAAGCAATAAGGTACCAAATTTTAAAATGTATCTCGTCCTAGATTTTAAAGCTACAACCACCAAACTTGGGTCAGACCTGCAGACTGGTCTGACTCGGGTTGCTATATCTTTCCTAACTGATCCGGCTTACGGTTTCATAAACCAGACTATCAAAACCACCTAAAATCCCATAGACTTTCATTGAGAAGTTTTATACAATAAGACTTTTTTTGCATTTTTTTTTGCAGTGAGAGGCGCCTTTTTTGAATTGTTTTCGGTTGGCAGTGAGCGTTCTGCGCGCTGTTTATGCGCCCTGTGCGCCTCACGTTTTAGCCGCCTGCTGCGCCTCACGTTTTTGCAGGAGCGCTCTGAGCGCATGAAGTAAAAAAAAAAAGCAACAGAGCAGAAAAAGCGCTCGACGTCATTTGCAATTTTTTTTCCATTGTCCAATCGAATGAATTTTTGGTGTCTGTCGCGGGTTACCCGGAGCTGTATTTTTTAAGGTTTCTGCTAATATGACAGTTTACTTAACAGCAAAAACCAAAGATTTTAGAGCGCTCACGCTATTTAAGTCACCAAAAAAAAAAAAGGCAGTGCGGTGCGTTCGGTGTGATCAGGGCCTTATGGTGTATTTAAGCTGTCTATTGCTATAGCAAAGCTTAACAACTCCCTACAGAAAAAAACAGCTAAAACCAGCCCAAGTTGATTGACTGCTTTGACTGATCTCCCAAGCTGGCTTTAAAGTGGTTTGGCCACTTTTTTAGCAGGCCAGGCTAGTCTTAGTTGGTTTTTAGCAGTTTTTTTTTTTTTTACTGAATCAACTGGTTTTAGCTGGTTTGGCATTGAAACATGATAACAACATGCTAGTAACTTGCTAATCATGCTAGAAACATGTTAACAACATGCTAGTAACATGCTAATCATGCTAGAAACATGCTAGTAACTTGTTAATCATGCTAAAAAAAAGGCTAACACCATGCTATTAATGTGCTAATCATGCTAGAAAAATGCTAGCAACTTGTTAAACATGCTAGAAACAGGTTATCATCATGTTAGTAACATGCTAATCATGCTAGACTCATGCTAGTAAAATGCTAATCATGCTAGAAACATGTTAACGAAATGCTAGTAACATGCTAATCATGCTATAAACATGCTAACAAAATGCTAGTAACGTGCTAATCGTGCTAGAAAAATGTTAACAAACTTGTTAAACATGTTAGAAGTATGCTAGCATCATGCTAGTAACATGCTAATAATGCTAGCATCATGCTAGAAAACGTGTTAATCATGCTAACACAATGCAAACACCATGTTAGTAACATGCCAATCATGCTAAAAAAATGCTAATAAAATGCTAGCAACTTGTTAAGCATGTTAGAAACATGCTAGCATCATGCTAGTAACATGCTAATCATGCTAGAAATATGCTAGCAACATGTTATTAACTTGCTAATCATGTTAACAACATGCTAGTAACTTAAACATGCTTGAAACATGCTAACAATTTGTTAAACATGCTAGCATTATGCTAGTAACATGCTAATCATGCTAGAATCATGCTATTAACTTGATAATCATGTTAACAACATGCTAGTAACTTGCCAATCATGCTAGAATCATGCTAACAATATGCTAGTAACTTGCTAATCATGCTAGAAAAATGCTAGCAAACTTGTTAAACATGTTATAAACATGCTAGTATTATTATACTAGTAACATGCTAATCATGCTAGATTCATGCTAATAACATGCTAGAATCATGCTAACTAGAGTCCTGCACGGGCCTCAAATATAGGCCCTAGCCCGCCCTGGCCCAAGCCCGGGTCAGACAGCTCATCAGAACTCTTGGCCCGAGTCCGACCTGCCCGTCTTTTTTCCCCCTTCTCCCAAAACAGCTTATACTACTGTTTCAGCCATTAAAATAGTTCAGTTTTGTATGTAATGTCAAAGTGATTATATTTTGTTTAGTTTTTTTTATTAAGTTAATTTAGAAAAACGTTTGGAGCAGTTTTTTGTTCGTTAAATGTAAGTTTTTGTTTTTTTAAAGTAACGACCAAGCGGCCAGCGGCAGACAGTGAGTTGATCATAGCCTATGTTTGATCAATTTAGCCTTCTCAAATCATCACGACTTGCGAAAATAAAATCTATAGATATAAAACAGTTCAAGCATATTACAATGTTAGTTTAAATGTTTAACCTATATAAATGTGCGCTATTAGACGCATATCTAATCGTTTGTGCGGAGAGCTAAAGCGCGCTTTACAGGACATGAAGGCGCCGGCGCGATCACTTGCATTGGAACAACTTAAAATATGCCCTAATTATTGCTCATAAAGGTAAGAATAATACATCACTCGGAACTGTAAAGGGTCTACTTTTATTTGTGTGCACTCACAATATCAACAAAGCGTTGTGCTTTTATAAAATAAAGGATACATACAAGATGTGCTTTCTGCAATTTCGGCCAGGAGCGCTTCACAATGATGCACCGAAACTCAGCGAATACTTGCCTCAAAAACTTGCTAAATATATCTATAGAAAGCTTTAAATTACTTCGAAAATAATTCGAATCAAAAACAAAAACTATTTTTACAGATTTTATACAATCAGTAAAGTTGCATTTCTCAGGATCAGGATCGTCGTCTTCATCTTTGGGACACAGACTCAGAAAACACTAATTTATTAATGAATAATTCAAATATCTCATTATACCCCCCCCCCCCCCGC